ATTTTAAGATAAAACTTATACTCAGCAGTGTTTAAACTAATCATCCCAGAAAATAAAAAGAATACTAACGACTAAGTTAAGAAAATGAAAAAGTAACTTAACGTCAATAGTAACTTAACGTCAATACTAAATTCATTGTTAATAAAATGTGTCGACAATAATACATTTAGTGTCGAACAAGTTTAGCACGAGTACATTTAAGTACTCGTTCAAAATACAGTGATATAAAATTAAAGATTAATTAGTGTCAAAGATCGAGTTGAAATAAATGGGACTTTTTTGTTAACTCTGCCAAAATTTCCGGACGTCCGGATTTTCAGAAACCACCCCTCCCTCTTTCCGGATTTGTCCGAAATTCCAAAACCTCCCCCTCCTCCCTATTTGCCGGACGTCCTAAGTAAATGGCCCCCAAGTGATATACACGTACCAACATCACTGTAAAAATAAAATAGTATTGATTAGTCATGATAAATTATATATAACAAGTTGAAAGTATTAAAATTAAAAACATAAGTACTGTAAACAAAATCGAGTTGCAGATATTATGTAGTATAAAAACTGGACTGCAAGTATAGCATCAGCACACAGCTTGTCGCCAGCGAACATTTTTGATGTACAACAAAATCTTCTAGAAAGAAGACGTCGTTATATAACTAGTCATCGTAATCGCCCCTCAAAAGTTTTGCCTGTATTTCGGTGATGATTGAAAAGGCAACTGTAGTCCCAAACTCATTTCCCATACTCGTGAACAATGAGGTCAAGCAATTTACTGACGCACTACCGAGGGTCGGATTATCTGAAATGAAGCATATTTTAAAATATATGCCTAACCTTTTATGCTTATTTCAAATTACTGGTGAAAATGCAATGTAGAGTGGTAGAGTGCAAAGGTCCGTTGAATTTGAAAAGTCACTTCTGCGATGTCATGTTCCAAATCCTACGGACCGCGGACGTCTGCACTCTAGTACCAGACACTCTACCAACTACATACAGAGACAGTTAAAACCCCGATTTACCGAGAAGTTTGAGAGGAAATTAAATCGGGGTTTGCGGTAAATTGGAGCGCAGTAAATCGGGGTTTTACTGTACTTGTTATTACTGGATTAGACGAAACAGTAATAGTCTACAGTATTAACTTCGTTCTAATAAACGTTCAATGAATCTTTGGCATTTAGTTATAGATAACATGCAGATCGCAGATAATATTCAACATACCCTTTACGCTCCGAGAGGGTGTCTCGCTCTGGGATGTAGCTGGAAGAGTTCCTGCATCTAAAGTTTACAAATATCACAAAATGATGCACATAAAATTAGATAGAACTATGACATCTTTGCCTAGTTTTGAGCCTAAAGCCACAAATTTTAAAAAAGTGATTGGAATCAAATATCAATTACTTATGAAAAATAATAGGTTATAATGTTTTAAGTCGCAGGATTGGCTTCAAATAATGACAATTCATACAGTTGTGAGTTTAGTGTGTTTCCAAAAAATGAGCAAATCTTGAAAACTACGTAATCATATATTTTGAAACATAGTTTAGTCTGCATTCTAAACAGCATACCATAATCACGTTGTTTATCTTTATTCGGAGTAGCCTCATCAGCTGACTCAGTCTCATCTGAACTGTCACCACCACCACAAGGCTTTCCGTAATCAACCGTAATCAAGACCGAACCCCCCCCCCCTATATAACGTTATCAAGGTTTAACCCCCCCCCCCCCCCACCGCAATCAAGACCCAACCCCCCTCCTATATTACGCAATCAAGCGTAATAACGGATTAATGAATGAAATAATCGCAAAGCACTTACTAAACGAAAATTGGTTTAAAAACGAAAATTTTAATTACGGGTATATGGCCCCCAGAATATAGGTGGCCCCCAAAATATAGGTCATGTTAGTGGATACAGTTCTAACCAAGATAAGCGATACTAATGGGATCTGTTACTGCTAGGTTGGAGTAAAACATGTAACTAATGTTTCTGGATAAAAATTTTGGACCTACATGAGGTATTTTGGTATATTTGGTCATGACAGCGAAAGATTTAAACGATGTTGTCATTTTCTAGAGGGGTAAATATGGCGAAAAATTGTCATGACAAAAATCTGTCCAACACATGCCATTAAGACTACTGGTATGAGTATAAGTATTATTTTAAGCTATCTTTTCATCGAGACATCTGCAAACTGACAATTTGGAAAAAAGTTATGGCCACCACAATTTTACGGGCCCCCAGAATATAGGTCTATACGACCCCCAGAATATAGGTTGGTCAAAAACCCTGAACATGCCCAAAACCATGCTTTGGGATGCTCTACTTGTAGCTACTAGTCTCCTGAACCCACATATCAAGTTTTATCAAAATTGGATAAAAATTGGCCGAGTTATGGGATAAAAACAAAAACCATATGCCCATATTTGGGCATACGCACCGAATTTGATCGATTTTGGTCCATAAATTGGTGAAATATCAATATTTTTGAATGAAACCAACTTTATATGGAAGGTAAGCATATATTACACATTCTCTATGATTATCAGCTCAATATCTACCTAACTGTGGATTCTGTGTTCAAATAATCGCAAAAAATGAACAAAATCCCCCATATCTCAAACTGACTTCGCTCAAAACAATAGAACTCAATAGGGTTTCAATATTTTCACATGAAATTTTCAGAATCAACGTAGAATTGTCTCATGACCTTAAGTTTTGGGACAGAATTTTGAGTTAGGCCTTTAAAAAAATTTGGCGGCCAAAAATGTCTGATTTACAGTCATTGAGGTGCACATTGTATTGATACAGATAAAAACAGCCCCCCTCAATCATATCTAGGGACACTCCTTCAATCTTATTTAAGTATTTAGTTAAGATCCCTACTAAATGAGTGCATGAAAGCTTTTTAACTAGTAAAATTAAAGATTTTACTCATTACGGGTATATGGCCCCCAGAATATAGGTTTTTAAAAAAAAATAGCGACCAAGATTCTGCATTTTCTCTGTCACCCTGAGCATTAAGGAATGTGGGGTAGTGATGAGAAACAGTTAAAGAACATATGCTGAAGAGATGGCATCATCAAAATGTATGAAGGTGGAGTATTTGAGGACGATTTTTGCATACCTATATTCTGGGGGCCGTAGTTTTTGATTTTTTGCTATTAAGTATACTCTAAACCATTTCAATTTAGTATCTGGAGCCATTGGCATCATCAATACAGTCTCAGCAACATATTCTGACTGCATATAACTGTCTGTGACAATTTTAGAACAACTTAGGAACAGATGTTTGGACCTATATTCTGGGGGCCCTGTTAAAAAATGGTATTTTTACAGGTGAAAAAAAAGTACACTTAAAAACCTAATAATTATTTTCAACTACCCAAGAAACATTTAAAGGGTTATTATGTACATATTTACAGCCCTAAACATGCTTAGAAGTAGTTTTAACACCTGTTTCTAAGTGCTCAAAAAACGACCTATATTCTGGGGGCCATATACCCGTACATAATTATAACGAAAATTGTCCAATGCATGGTATTTCGAAAATCGGAAAAAAATTAAAATTTTGATTACGTAATCAACGACCAAAACCCCCCCCCCCCCCCGTAATCAACCGTAAGCATTTGAAAACCCCCCCTCCTCGGCTGATTACGTAATATGTGAACGACCTCATACTAGAAAACCCTCTTGTCTAAAAAGAAAGTTTTGTGCAACAAATATTAAAATCAGTGACCTTATGACTTCATCATGTAGCTCCAGTGTGCACCCTTGGGAGTTTTACTAGGCAGTGACTGCAAAAAGGTATTCAATGCCTTTTATCACATCAAAATGTACCTTTCAGCCTTCACCTTCCAATTCCCCAGGATTTAATGTTTACAAAATCACCGAAATCACCGAAACTGGCAGAATGGTGCAGTTGTGATCAAGTTTTGAATTACTAACATCCTCTTTTTTGATCCAAGATGACCGCTTTGAACAGGCCAAGTTGTATAGTCCCACTTTTTATCCCTTCCTTCTCGAGTTGTAGAATATATTCATTGATTTGCATCCTCCTACTCTTTTTTTTAATGCACTGCTTTTGGTCGTGCATGTAGTGTCTATCTGAGGATGAGCTATGTATTAACTGTGGTAGCGACATATTACATAGTGCATACTAATATATATGATTAAGCAAATGTAGTATCATAGTCATGGCAACATAAATAAGAATTTTGTTTCACTTATAAATAAGCAAGGTGATGGTATGATCCATAAACTGCTTAAGAAATGTTGTGAAATCTATCTTGGGCAATGTGCACCAAACTCTACTATAAAATTAATTTCTTCTTTATTTGACTGTACTCACTTGATCTGTCATAAAACGGTTCACCATATCTTTCGTACGCCTTCGCCAACATCATACAGTGTCCAGGTGTCATGGTCATGGACAGCGGCTGTTTAGAATCCATAGAATTTCTAGATGGCGAAAGAATGAGTTACGAGGAATTCTACAATACACAACATTAAACAGCGGAACGTGCGGGAGATGGTACTGTTAATAGACGTTTAAGTTTGTTTAATATTTGTTTGTCCACGAAATGTACATTCAGATCTCTAGAGGTTACCATAGCACTGGTACAATCTCTTATCTGACATCTTTATCTTGTCGGATGTCTAGAAGACTTTACAATGGGTTTCAAAGCATTTCAGAAGCCTTCGAATAAAGCTGGATGTCTTAGATATTTAACACTGGTAATCCATATACATATATTGGTTTGCTTTTCTTTAATCAGTTTTTATTGGAGTTCCCAATTATATGCTGTTTAATTTTAGATTTTTAAAAACTTTTTCAATAAAGGCAAAGCGAGGACTGTGATACGAAACAAGTAGACATTCCATATCCAAGATATTAATTCTACAGTTATGACGGAATTTTAGTCAATTGACCAATTAATGAGTTCACCGTCATGTATGGAAGCTAGAATGAGCCCAAAATGTACAATACCAATACAAACTCAGAAATTGAAATTTGAAAGCCATTTCAGAACAAGAATGAATAAATCGGTTTCACATTCGTCCAAACTCAAAATACGACGATTCCTGACAAGAAAACAATAATAATTTGCTATTGCCATACAAAATTACAAAAAACAAATTTACACATCAAATACATCAAGAACTTGAAAGAATAAAGAATCATTTTAGGAAGAAGACTCCTTTGGACGGTCTGGTAATAAGGTTCACATATTACGTAATCACTGAGGGGGATCCAAATGATAATACGCTGGATTAATTTAAACACAAAAGTTGTGTTTAAAACGTAAAACTGATTACTGAAGGGGGGGGGGGGGATAAAAATTGGCCAAAGAGTGATTAAATACGCAATATGTAAACGACCCGTAGTGAATTTCTTCAAAATGTTCTTTAAAGCTTTAACAAGTTCAAAACGAAATCATCTGGTGGTTGAGCAAGAGTCACATTTGCAAAATTCCCGCCAGATCGTGAATTCACCAGTTAACCAATCAACAATCCTTAGCCTGACTAGAACCGTATTAGAAAGGCACTTGAAGATGTTAGATGATCACGTGTTATCACCGGGGCCATCCTAATTTACTCCTTTGTTCTAGTAGTTACCGCGTCAGCACATTTGAAATTGCTGAATTTGAGGGCCGTTATATCTCACAACTAGCACGAATATTTTCTACCAATGTTACGTTTCTAGCACAGGCCCATACTTTTCAATCAACTCCGTTACTTCATCCTCCGTTAGTGACTTTCTCTCGTAAAGGTCTGTTGAGAGCTTCTTGATTAGCTCTTTATTCTTCTCTATGATTTGAGACGCTCTTTCGTACTGCTCCTGTGGTACCACTACGTTAGTTTAAAAACTAGACTTAAGATAATGCTGCAACTCACCACTTATCACTAGTCACCTCAATACTTGAATATGACGTATTAAATTAAATAGACTATATTCGGTCTCATAGGTGTTGCACGATAATCGATTAAATATAGGCTAAGTTAAAGGAGAGGTTCAAGACGAAAAGAGATGATATTTTTGGTGTAACCTGAACAATCGAGTTAACTTCTTCGTCCATTTCTTGTTGCAGTTTGTTGCTCCAAATATTGACTCTTCGTTGTTGGGATCGCTGCTCGTGAAACGAGAGATTAGGCGCAGATTTCCCCATTCCATGATCAGCAATCATCGAGTATGCCACCTGAGCAACAGAATGCGTAATAGGGTTATTAACAATGTTTGTTCTAATATGGTGGGTGGATGCTTTCTGAAAATGCTAGTTTTATAATTTATACGATTGATAATCAATCGACAATAAAATGTTGTCACAAACCTGACAAACGTGCACAAAATTTACGTTAACATAAATTAATATGTACGTAAATGATCTAACATGATTCGATCTGACGGACGGACATGATCTGACATGCGCGCAGTTTGTATGCATGTACGTGCGCGTGTATTTATCAATTCACAATTGTCTCTGCGCGCTCCAAACAATACATTTTCACAGTGTTCCACTTGTCCAAAATGTGATTTTCGTTTAATTGTTGTCACGTCAAAACAAAGTTACCCAAATTAGCATTAATGACTGATATTTTATTTCAGGGCCATAAAAAAAACTTACATTAGTAATCCTCTCTAAATCACTCTGGGCTTGAGTAGTGTGTTTATCAAGAAATATCATCTGAGAAGCTTTGCCAGCCAAACCACGACACACCAAATCCAGCAAGTGCTCCTTGGTTGCGAGTAATTCTTTTCTAGGAGCGAACTGGACAAATCCGAGAGGGTTATTTACCCGGGCAACCATGGACGCTTTGAGAACTGGAGTCAATCTGAGATGTCAGAACATAAATACATGGTACCAATCGGCAATCATTAAGCAGTCAACCTTTAAAGAGAAAAAATCTTTCGTCAATATGAGGATTAAAAGATAAGTTTGCCTGCCAATCCAGTCATACTAACGTAGGAAGGACCCAGGAAAGGAAAGTTTGCCCGGCAATGTAATAAGCGGCGAGCTGGATCTCTTCTTCCGAAACTGATGACGATTTTCGTTCCAATCCTGAGGAGGGGGATGGCTGAAGGCACAGTATCAACATATTTAATTTGTATCCATATATACAGGTAAGTTAAGAGGATAAAGGAGGATAGGGCTAGTAGGCAGGGAGGATGTGCTTTCCCTGTTTATCAAGTCTCTTTTTAACACAAACAAATAGGACGATTAAAAACCTGCGGTGATTCGTTCCAGAGCAGCTTCAAAATCCGCCTCTTCAACGGACGTTTTAACTTGCCTAGCAGCCTGTATCGCTGCTTCGTTACAAATGTTTGCTATATCTGCGCCACTTTTACCTGTAATGGACAGCGTTTAATACATTGAATATCGTGCAATACCTATCACGATGAGAGCATCGAGTGAAAATGTCTCATAAAACTGTTCTATTTTGCAGAATACTTGGAGGAGTAAATATTGAATCTTGAAATGTTTTCTAAAGAATCGAGAAATACCATACCAGGAGTGCAGGCTGCTAGCCTGGCTGCGTAACTCTCCTTCAAGTTGTCACCTATCTTAACAGTAGCCATGTGTATCTTGAATATCTCCTCGCGCTCTATCTCAGTAGGGTTGTCAATATACACCTGAGAAAACAGGAGTGAGTATATTATACCTTGTTTTTACTTTTTATGTGTTATTGTAGAACACAGAAACGTAATTGTGAAGCAGGAACTCAGTTCCTGAGGAACTGACACAAAAAGCTAGAAAGCACAATGTACACATGGTATGTACATGTGGTATATAATGTACATTTTACAATATTAGTACACGGTATGTATGGTATGTACAATTTACCTTTCTGTCGAGTCTACCAGGACGTGTAACAGCTGAATCTAGAGTGTCGTCTCTGTTAGTGGCTCCTATCACAAATATCTCATCTCTACTGTACATGCCATCCATCTCAACTAGAAGCTGCAATAAATAAAAACGTTGGTTTCTAATATTTGTACGCTTTTAAATTCCATGGTTCAATAGTTAGCAATTCTGTCACATCTATGGACCCATCATTTAGACACGTGACGGATATGTAGCACGTGTTTATTCTAACCTGGTTAACAGTACGTGTTTTCTCATTGTCCTCTTGTCCAGATCCCATTCCAATACCACCAGAGCCACCTCTTTTTGATGCCAAAGCGTCTATCTCATCAATAAAGAGGATACACGGGGCATGTTCTTTACATACCTAAAAGAAGAGGGGCATATTTAAAGTTGTATTTATAAATTTCATACTGCTCCAGCGATCATTGATCAATCATCAACCAAGGATTGAAAATTGGACTCAGCCAAGTTTTTAAGGACAGATCACAGATCACAGACCACGGGTAACAACTGGACAATTCATTGGTATAGATTGAATTGTCGGTTAGAATCAGAAAGCAATCATTGATATATCAACAGAAAATCTCTTGAATGATAAAACACATTCTTTGTTTCAGTCAGCCCCCGGAAACCAACCTTGAATATTTCTCTGACACGTTTTGGTCCCAATCCACCGATCTTTTCAATAAAGTTGGGCCCTGCCGTGTTGATAAAAGGAACTGATGCCTCCCCAGCTATAGCACGAGCCAGCAACGTCTTACCATTTCCTGAAAAAACACACTGTTAAAAAACGACGCAACCTGCTGTTATTTTCAAGACGGTTTGGTATTCAAATAGTAAGGCTAAATAAAGGAAAAAATGGTTCCTCTGGTCAAACACGGAAAACTTACCAGGGGGTCCACTTAAAAGAGCTCCGGAGGGAATTTTAGCCCCTAGGTCGGTGTATTTCTTTCTGTTCTTCAGGAAATCAACTATTTCTGAGAGTTCCACCTTAGCTTCGTAGTGTCCTCCTACATCTTTAAACGAAGTCTGGGAAGAGTAATATTTATATATAATAATATTATATAGTTACAGATTTTAAAGCAATCTAAGCAGTACAAATTCAATCAGAAGAGAACCTAATATATTTCTTACTAATAACTAAATAAAACGTTTTCGGTCTCAAATACATTCCTACTCCGTCTAACTTATAATACAAGTCATGTCTGAGTAATCTCCTTTCCCTAATAAGAGCATTTTTACTTGTCGCAACAACCGGGATAAGATAATTTTACACAGAATACATTACAACAATGCGACTCATAAATAATACTACAATCCGGATTTTACATCATGTCATTAAATATATTAAATAATAGTTATTAGTTTACCTCAGGTTTAGCATCGTTGTCAGGAAGAATTACGTCGTAACGAAAGGAGCCGACACCAGCCATTCTCTCCATTAAATTCAATGAAAGAGGTGTACTGTGTAGACCTCTCACATGTTGGAAACATGATGTGACACATTGTGGGTATGACGTCACAAGCTGTAGTGATGACGTCACCTCAGAGCCTGATGAAGTAGCACGACATACCGGTGACTTTTGTACGACTGAGTATAAGAGTCTTCTCTTTCTGGCAAGCCTGTACATGGCTAGTTGGGAGTTACAATTTAATTAATAATTATAACGAGAAGATGATTAAGTAAAAAGTACAGTTTTGTGAAATTAATATTATCTTCATTCACTTTAATTCATGATTCAATTGTATAACTTATAAATAAATTATTTAATACACCCGCCAATATTTGTGTGTATGACGAACAACAAATTAAACAAACAGATTCAATAACGAATTCTATTGGAAAAGATACTTTGATCACGATGGGAGATTTACCTGACAGAAACGATAAAGGGTCGTTCACATATTATTACGTATTCAGCCGAAGAGGGGGGGGGGGGGGGGGGGGGGGTCGGGAGTTTCCAAATGATTACGCTCTAGTATAATTTTGACACAATAGCTATATTGATTGTCTTGCAGCAAATGAACACTCTGAACATTTGAAGGGTTTCTCTCCAAAGTGAGTTCTCATATGTACAGTAAGATTACTGGCTTGTCTTGCAGCATATGAACAATCAGAACACTTAAAGGGTCTCTCACCTGAGTGAGTTCTCATATGTGCAATAAGACTACTTGCTTGTTTTGCAGCAAATGAACACTCAGAACACTTGAAGGGTTTCTCTTCAGAGTGAGTTCTCATATGTCTAGTAAGAGCACCTGATCGTCTTGTAGCATATGAACACTCTGAACATTTGAAGGGTTTCTCATCTGAGTGAATTCTCATATGTTCAGTAAGATTACCTGCTTGTCTTGCAGCAAATAAACACTCAGAACACTTGAAGGGTTTCTCTTTGGTGAATGAGATTCTGACTTTGATAATTGATTGGGCTACTAATAACGGGCTTAAATTAAATGCTAGCAAAACTAAATATATGATCTTTACAAATAAAAAAAATAAGGATATAGAAATCTACATGGGAGGTGAGCGACTAAAGCAAAGTTATCACGAAAAGTTTCTTGGCGTGATCATTGATACTAAGCTAAATTGGGCCCACCACATTAGACATTTAGCCACTAAACTCCGTTAAAAGAGTCTTCTCGGCCCAGAAAAAGGGCATTCGCGCTGCAGATAACCAATACCACCGCTATTTTTATGACAAAGATCTGAATAGCACACCTTCACACACAAAGGAAATTTTCAATAAACTTGAAGTATTAGCTTTACCGAACGTGATAGCTAAATGTATATTATGCTTAATGCACAAAGTTTATTCTAACACTGCACCACCAAATATTATAAGAATGTTCACTGTTTCAAACTTAAACGCACCTAGAAGAGAACCTGAGTTCTTTGCAGTACCATTTAACCGTTTATGTAATTCAGACAAGAGCATTTCTTACATTGGGCCTAAGTTATATAACCAAACAGTCAACATTATTAACAAGGACATAAAATATGTCACCACTTGCCTACAAGACAAATTCCTAAATTCATTCAAGTCTACAGTCAACAAGCATGTGCTTACTGCACAAGCACATAAACCGGATGACAAGGACTGGGACAACTCAAATTTCGTACTTTTAGAAATTTAAATAATTTGGTACAACATACGTTGATCATAATAACGAGCAACAAAACTTTAACCTCATAACAAAATATGACTATCTTCGAGCATTTTTTTACAATGCTATCGACACCGCGCAATTTCACTGTCATTTACAACTTTTAAAAGATAAAAATATCACCGCGCATTCTTCAGACCCTGTGTCGCTGTTCTAAATTTATGTCAAGAGATAAGAGTTATTTAAAATTCTTAATAGTACTATTTAAATTTGCTAATAGCATAATCATATTTTATACATTATTAATACTTTATACATTGTGTGCATATATTTATATTTGATTGTAATTAAAGATTTTAAGGCGTTAGTGCCGAGTAATGCCTTCGCTTCGGGTAGTGCTCCTCAATCAATCAATCAATCAAATCTTCAGAGTGAGTTCTCATATGTACAGAAAGATGATCTGCTCGTCTTGTAGCAAATGAACACTCAGAACACTTGAAGGGTTTCTCACCTGAGTGAGTTCTTATATGTACAGTAAGATCGCCTGCTCGTTTTGAAGCATATGAACACTCAGAACACTTGAAGGGTTTCTCACCTGAGTGAGTTCTCATATGTTCAGTAAGATCACCTGCTCGTCTTGCAGCAAATGAACACTCAGGACACTTGAAGGGTTTCTCTCCAGAGTGAGTTGTCATATGTACAGAAAGATTACTCGAATATGCTGCACTGAATGCACACTGTGAACACCTAAATGGTCCCACAGGCGGACTCTTACTAGGAGACAGAACTAATGTCCTCTGAGGATCTGTTCCAGTCAATTTATCTGAAGTATCAAAGTAGTCAGGTACTTCTGGGCTGCTATGATTATGATGCTGTTTAACATGTTCTATTAACTGAGTGTCTGAGTAAACATGTTCAGCACAAACTGGACAGATAAAAATAGTTGGTTTATCTGATTCAGATGTAATTTCTTGTTTTAATGAACAATTTGATACTGTTTTATGTTCTTTGATGTGCTCAACAAAGTAGTCTTCTGAAAAGTAATGTGCTCCACACATTGGGCAGAGCAAACCGTTTGACTTTTCTGGTTTCTCCACTTGCTCTGATTTGATCTCTTGTTTACAGTCTTTAGACATTCTGAGGTATTGAAATATAAGAGATATAAGATATATAAAGTACATTTATTTTAAATTCGATCGTGAAGGAATTTGGCATTGATAACGTGCCTCATATCCAATGAAAATCACAAATATTTGCCCACCCCTATCAAGATTCTAAAAAAAGTGCGATGAGATTGGATTTTGAGACTAAAAGTGCGATTTTCACGTGTCACGTGCAGTGGCGAAATGTACTCCCCACCAACCCCCCCCCCCCCCCCCAGCCTGCAAGATTTCTTGCCCCACAAATTATTTTCTATTTAAAAAGATTTCGCGAGTCCCTTTGTAAGCGAAATTGTAAGTAAGTTGCTTTATGTCGCTCGATGTTTATTTCTCAGAATTGTAAGTATGTCGCTGTTATTGGATCCATAAATAACGAAAAATTTACGTGCGTATTTTTATGAATTATATTATGTTACATATTGTAAACGTGGTAAGCCTCTCGTAGCACGATGGTTCCCAGTGACATAAATTTAAAAAGGCTAGGGACTAGGAATCCAGTTTGGAAAGAAAAAACGGCTACCATATATTTTTAAAACGACTACCATAAATTTTTCGGCCACTCCGCGGCCGGATAACAATTTCATTTCACTTTGCTAATTATATGCTAATTATATTACAGAGGTTTAGTTATTCATTAGTATAGTTATTAGTTCATTAGTATAGTTATTCATAATTGCCAAAAGAGTGGAAAAAATTATCCGTCCCGGGTATCGAACTCGCAATCTGCTAATCTAGAACCGTCAGATTAACCAACTAGGCCACGATTCCATACACTACATTGTAACATTTACATATCCATATTCGCGCGCTCCTGCAACTTCAGGTAGTACTATACTAGAATTTAGAATGGAATCAATGTGATAAGGATCCAGAGTTAATTACCTGCTAGGATTAATAAGTCAGTTCTCCAGTTGAAGAGACCCTTAATCAAACTTTTACCGGACCTCCTTTAATGGTAACCATGGTAACTATAGTAACCACTGTGAATCTTGATCTTATAAACCGATTAGTATCGACAGCAACTAGTATCCTTTCAGACTTAGACAGTACAGAAAAGTAAGCCGTCAGAGTAACACAAGTCACAACCAGTAATAATTCAAAACAATCAATACCAAAAGTTCATTGACCATGAAAAGTCGGCTTGATGATAAAGACGAAAAGGCCAGCAATATGAGGAATATTATTATGGGGCCGTTGCATGGTAAATAAACTAAGAATAAACACGCTGAAAAGCGATGAAAATGCAAGCGCGCGACCGAATATGTAGTGCTGAAAGAGGATGCCGAAATCTCGCGGAGAATCTCACGATATCGTGAGCCTAGCTATGAGATTTAAACGAAACTCGCAAAAATCTGGCAAAAATCTCGCGCGCGTTACGTCGAAGTTTTCACGCTATAAACAAGTGATAAAATACACGTTAACTTTAAGAGTATAAAATACATGTTAAGTTCCTAATTCCCTCAACTTTTAAGTTAAACTTTTTCTGTTTCCTCATTTATTTACAAATTTTGTGCGATGAGTCTGGCTCGCAATCTCGCATAAATCTTGACCTGGGTTTGCCCAGTTAAACCGGGGGTATCCAATGGTGAAAAATGGAGAAAAATGGCGAATGAATTTGATGGTGAATCGGTTTTCCAAATAGTAAAATTTCACCATTTTTACCCCATACGCGTACGTCCTCTTATCAATACATATTCATTCCTTCTCCTCAGCCGTACTAATCAGGGATTAGGATGGTTCATATTATATAATGGGTTTTATCTTTGCTACAGTACATCAACAATGTTAATAAATTATGTCCGCTTTTGAGAAATTATAATAAAACAAAAACATTATCAGGAATGTTTTCAAATTGCATAACAAAATTTCCAAAGAGTTCAGATAAATAAGTTAAGCACCATTCTGACAAGTCACGAACCGTTCTGTAAAAAAACTAAACGTTCAAGTCTATGCTTATGATTGAGTTAACCAATAGACAAGAGTTCAAGATATTTTTCCAAATAGATAATGTTGGTTTAAAGAAAGAACAATTAAAAGAATCAAAACCTTTAAATAATGTATGATATTCCATTAAATACTTTATGATTTAATAAAAGTTGGCATCTCACTGCTATAGCCTACCGATTAATCAACCTTCGACAAATACGCTGTGACAATAAAAACCTATGTGGCGTAATAAATAAAAATAAAAAGTAAAAACTGGCATGTACTAAATATTATCCTCCTTCCACCAAGATAAAAGTCCTAAGCCTGGTTCACTGATAGTACCGATAATCTTCATAGGTAACAACTCTTCTGAGTCTTGTGTAGGAGCACGTTTAGCTACGTCGTTAAATTCTATTTTACAAACCCTGAACCTGGTAACAGAGTAAAGTAAATATGTGGTGGGGGATTTATGGTTACCTTGAGATGAGATCTAAAATTTGTACTTGGCACTTTATCAAAAGCTAAAACTGCTGCCAAATGTAGTAATCATCAAAATGCAGATGTTAATTTTATCTAAATTTAATTAGCCCGTATAGCTGGTACCTGATTTCTTCTCTCTCATCCATGTAGAGATTGTGAGTCTCCAGTCCGTCAGTGTACTCCCAAATCCAGCAGTTCTCCTCTTGGTCGAACCTGAGAGAACACGTCTTATCAATCTCTGTAACTAATATGGTTACTAGGGTTATGAATACATGACACGTATGGTTTTATCAGTAACTAGGGGACACAATTATAGTTACTACGGCTGTTCGGCTCATAAACATGGTAACTAATAGCTCTAAAAGCAGTTTCAAACACCAGATTAAATACAGAACCTGTGTGGAGACTGGAGATACGCTTCAGGGATGAAGATGTCCTCAAAGAAGCCCAAAGTTACCCAAACACCGTCTGGACTGGACCGTCTAACTTTACCGATGATAACCTCCTCTTCAAAGGGTTTGAACACTATGTACCGGAACAGAACAGACGTGTGGGTTCCTAAAATACGGTGCGTTAATTCAAGTCTTTATCCAGTTTTAGAGAACAAAAATCGTTTAATTTTCAAAAGAGATTAGATTTTAAGATATTAAAACATATTTCGACGTTTTCTAATATCAGTCTATTTCAGCATTGTATTGCTGACTCATCTTGTCTATCACATCAACTAAACATTTGATATCCACGCAACTAACCCGCGTCACCAGGGAAGGAGAAAGACTCCCCAATCTGAATAATATCATGAAGTGCAATACACAGTCCGTGAGGGTAAAGCACTTTGTTTGCTAGCTTGGTGTTCAGCACCTCCTTTATAGCTCGGGTTTGTTCCAGTTTGAAGAGGGAGGGCCGGATACCAACATTATTCCTTAGTTCTATTAGCTGGAACATGGGGGTGAAGGTAGGATTTTAGGTTTTAGGACGTCGTATATAAACACACCAAACGATGCACCTCCTGTAATGTTGGAATGTAGTCAAAATCAAACTTAGTGCTTAAGAAACGGAATATATTGTACTATAATGTATATAAGTTGGAAACTTTACATATAGATTGAAATGAAAGATAAAACATTGACATGTATTTAAGGGGGGGGGCCAATGGATATTTTTTTGTGAAACTTGATTTCGAGATAGCAGTTGACCAACAAACTAAGACCAGTGACCGAACTTTTGAGGGGGTCCCGGACCCCAACCGCCAAACGGTGCCCGCAGGGCAGCCACGCCCATATTTGGTCCAAATTAGGCCCAATTTAGCCAAATACTCTGAACATGCCCAAAACCCAAATTTTAGGTGCTCTACTTGTAGCTAGTGGTCTCTTGAAGTCGTATATGAAATTTCATCAAGATTGGACAAAAAATGACTGAGTTATGAGCCAAAAACCATATGCCCATATTTGGGCATACGCACCAAATTTGGTAGATTTCGTCCCATAAATTGGTCAAATATCAATATTTTTCACTGAAACTTACTTTATATGAAAGGTAAGCCTAAACTACATATTCTCTGTAAGTTATAGCTTTATATCTGTTTAAATGTGGATACTAAGGCGAAAAGACCACAAAAAATGAACTAAATTGCCCATATCTTGGTTCGCGATATTCGCGGAATTGATCTCATTAAAATTGTAACAACTCAATCAGTTTTCAAAATTTTTCCATGAAATTTTCGGAATCGACTCGAAATCGCATTTCCACCTTAGTTTGAGAACAGATTTTTGATTAAGGCCTCAAAAAAAATTTGGCGGCCAAATTCTGAATTTCTCCGGGAAAATTTTGGAATTTGGCCGCCAAATTTTTTTGGAGGCCTAAATCAAAAATCTGTTCTCAAACTAAGGTGGAAATGCGATTTCGAGTCGATTCCGAAAATTTCATGGAAAAATTTTGAAAACTGATCGAGTTGTTACAATTTTAATGAGATCAATTCCGCGAATATCGCGAACCAAGATATGGGCAATTTAGTTCATTTTTTGTGGTCTTTTCGCCTTAGTATCCACATTTAAACAGATATAAAGCTATAACTTACAGAGAATATGTAGTTTAGGCTTACCTTTCATATAAAGTAAGTTTCAGTGAAAAATGTTGATATTTGACCAATTTATGGGACGAAATCTACCAAATTTGGTGCGTATGCCCAAATATGGGCATATGGTTTTTGGCTCATAACTCAGTCATTTTTTGTCCAATCTTGATGAAATTTCATATACGAGTTCAGGAGACCACTAGCTACAAGTAGAGCACCTAAAATTTGGGTTTTGGGCATGTTCAGGGTATTTGGCTAAATTGGGCCTAATTTGGACCAAATATGGGCGTGGCTGCCCCGCAGGCACCGTTTGGCGGTTAGGGTCCGGGACCCCCTCAAAAGTTCGGTCACTGGTCCTAGTTTGTTGGTCAACTGCTATCTCAAAATCAAGTTTCACAAAAAAATATCCATTGGCCCCCCCCCCTTAACAGACTCTTTTAAAGAGTCTGTTATTTTATCCATTTGTAAGTCGTACCTACTGTAAGATAAAAGTATTTATGAGCGGATGTTATGTTAAGGGATGAGCGAAACTTTGATATAACAGTAGAGCCGTGAAGACAGTAAGCAGAGATTCCTACTTCTAGAGTTCTTCTTATTATCTTACATTCCAAACAATCTTCTTTCATAGTATCATCCTTGTGATGTAAGAGAGTTAACTGGACGCTCATTAATAAAATACCATCTTGGATGGAGGAAGATAGAAGAAGTTAAGTTCATGAAATTGTAAACATGCAATGATAAAGCAGAAGCAAAACACTGAACACCGAACAGGGGGTATCCAATGGTGTAAAATGGTGAATTATTTTTATGGTGAATTACGCCTATTTGCACAGGAAATAACACCCCATATGCCGGGCCGTTGTCGCAAAAAAACGCAACATTTTACTTAACTACTGAGCCATCACTACTTGAAATATCCTAAATAGAAATACCTACAGAGTGCTATTGAATAAGTACCAAAATAGCATATGACAGCAAACAACAAAACAAGAGCATGAAGCTGAAAATAACTGTCCAATCTTGCGGGGAGATGAAATATGACGATGCTTTTTGTTTTTTGCTTTAAGTTTTTGACTGTCAATGCTGAAATTGTTTATCCTGGACGCAGGTAATCATACTCGGACATACGGCAACACGGCGGAAATGAAGACATTTCCAGAAACGTATTTATTCTTTTCCCACACATAATACACATACTATACACCGGATAAGCAATCCATTAAATTGTGTCAGACAAATTCACTTGTTTGAACCTTGCATTAAATTCTATCAACTGAAAATAAAGTCCGGGAATTGGACAGAATATAGGTCCCGTAAAGGAAAATAGTTAAGCCGTCCTGCCGCAAATTCAACAAATTTACAGCGTCTAGGGTAGTTTTTAATCCCTGATTGGGACAGGAAGAATAACAGTACTCAGATTTAAAATATAAACGGCACGAAATCCCAGAAGGACGTTACCAAAAGTTGATAATAGATAAACAATTAGGATGAAAACTGTTGGAAACAACGGAAATTAAGAAAGTTTGACACTTTCAGCTCTTTTGCATCAGGAAGCCATCTAAAAGAGTTAAAAACGGTCAGCAAATGACTTCAGATATCTAATATTGAAAATGCCATAAAATCAACACAACGAAACGGCTCAAAGAACACGAACACTTTGCAATATACGAATACGCTAGAAAATAAACCGCCTTGGCTATTCGTGAATTTGGTGATTGAACTGCAGTGAGAAACGGAACCCACTTTACATGGTTTTTGCTCCGGTCCGGGCCTTTGTATCGAGTTAGAAGATTAGAGAGCAACGTTCCGATTTTGATAGAAATCCCGTCCAGAAAATTAACCACATTGTCATCATGATTTAATACACAAACATGGAGGGCAAACAAACTCGCGAGAAAAACGATAAGTTCTCATTAACGTATCCATATTGGTTAAATTAGATTTAATTAAATCGAATGCAGATCTGATTTTTGAGTAGAGTATCTAATAGGCTCACCACCAAGACCCCAATTGAGGCCCCCTTCGAGAGTGGTGAAATCAGTTTATCCGGACTGACTGCAATGCACTGGACGAGACTGGAATCAGTATAAAAATACATAATAATATTAAGTTTTAATTCCTGATATATCATATTAATATGATAACTCTAACTTTGATTGTAAACATTATAATGCGCACCACGTGCGCCGCAAATCTGTATAACACTAACTTTTTTGTTTCATTTACTACACCATTCACTTTAAGCTGTAGTCGTAACTAAATCGACCTCTAAATTTTACGTAACCCTACGAAGTTAAGGCTTGTACACTTTCGCAATAATAAATCCAACAAGTCTTGTCTGGGCTACAAACTTACAAATTCAGCTTAAACCTTCAGTAGTCCCTACTGTTACCATGGTAACTACTTAAGTAGTCTAGTTCTTACAAACGCGCTAGACATAATTAGAGTAGATATCAATACATGTGAATATCAGTGATTAAGTGTTAGGACAACCCACAACACACAGAACATTCATAATTACTTATTTAACACGTGCCTTCTGCTATCTTCACTTTCACTTCACTTCACTCCTGCTATCTTCACTTTCACTTTCACTTCAACTCCTGCTATCTAGTTAAATACAGAATAAATTTATAACACTTTTGCTTGATCTTGAAAACTGTAAATTTGAGTGGCTCGCTGTTCCATTTCGCTGCCGACTGTACGATAAACCACTAAACCCACTCAGTAACAAAAACACGAGCCTCAAATACAGACGTAAATACACATAATATTTTTAAAGCTTTTGCTTACTTTGAAACAGTAAATATTTTTAGGCCCGTTGTTCCAGCTTGCTGCCATCTGTGTAACACAAGGGAAGTTCGAGCTGACACTAGACATGTCTCCACAACATCAATCGGGACACGAGGGTAGTGAAGATTCACAACTTGAAATAAGGCTGAATGTCCCCAAAAAAACCACAGAAGCGGTCTGCAGCACCTGATGCAAGACTTGCCCGTATTGTTCGATCTTGACTCAAAGATAATGGTCAACGGTCATGGAGTTTAATCTAACGAATCCCTCACGATGCAAAGATAAGCAAATTAATTACGTTGCACAATAGCCATGCAGTTGTAGACCATTGAGGACTGAGGACACTACTTTGGGCATACGTTGACTCCGATTCCACATTGGCACAATGGCACCGAACAAGTTCAACATTGACGACCGTGCCCTTCAACGAGCACCAGCCTTATCAATGCATTGTTTACATGTACACAGAGGACACTTTCAGTTTTGACTGTTTCAAATTCGGGATTGTGAAAAAGACTAAACCTTCCCTATTAGATAGGGAAAAGGAAGGCTAGATTTTTTGTGCCAAAGTTTTAGAACTAAATGTTTGGGGCTTTAAATAGATGAAATTAAAAGATATTTTTTTTGTGGTTTTACCCATATCTGTAATTAATTAATTAAACAATTTTGTGCAATTTGCGTCATTTGTCCTTAAATATTTTTTATCTACCACTTATCTTGTGAAACAATTTAATCGTATTCAAATTCTTTCAGATCGAATTTCATGATATTCTCTAATCATGACCTGTTTTAGAAATTTTTTGAATCTCTAGACTGAGTATTAGTGATGGAATTTATCTGACTTAATTATATTCTTTTTGTAGGCTCTAGCGATGTAATAAAACGAAGTTTCTACCAAGCCAAATTTGTGTAGTTTTTCCCTTCGTGTCCAAAATCAATCATTTCACATCATGTAGACAGCATTGCATAAGGTGGAAACATGAGCAGTAAAGTGGGAAACATGTTCAGTAAGGTGGGAAACATGTCAGTAAGGTGGGAAACATGTACAACAATGTGGGGTGGAATGTGT